AGAGTAACTTCTCTGCTGTGCAGCTCTAATACATGAGGTGCAGAACAAATGCTGAACCTGCTTCAGCTGCTCCACCACATCCACTAAGAACAACAGTTACATCCAATATTTTCTCTTCTGTATTTGTGTTATTTTTATTTTTATTACTCCCTGTTGCACCAACATATGATGCAGTTACTTCAGTTGTTTTTAGCATGTTGTCTATTGTTGAAATGATCTTAGAGGTTTCAGGTTTTAGTTAAAGAGTCTGGTCTCATGAAAAACACACACTGGATATTTTTCACTTAATGAACTCTGAACTTCAGACAACAATATGGCCTCATTTTGTTTGACGCTGGTCTGTGCTGGTATGTTATTAATTTAGAGTAATTACATTTAATGAGTATAGAAATTACTCATAATCATCTCACAGACAAAACATTATGTGCAGCTACTTTCAGTACCATTGATATTTATTTAGAGTTTTTTCTCTAATTGATCTTTCTGAGTTAGCTTCAGTAATTACTTCCTCCAAACCATCGATGTGTCTTTTAAAACCCATTCTGACACATCTGTGCACATCGACAGGAAATGTCAGCTTCCACAGCAAAACAATATAAAACACACTTACAAGGTCTCATCTTAGCTATCAGAGGCTTTAACAGCAGATTTAGTAAAGAACACAAGGACATAGCATGCTAAGTACAATCAGATCATATTAACCTGGGTTACTTTCTCATTACAGATGAATTAACTAAGTCATGCTTCAAATTAATGACAGTAAACGAACTATGCATTTATTAATTAATTTTAAATACACTGAAGTAAATTTAAAAAAAAATTGCTGTGCAGATCAAAACAGTATTTCAGTATTTTGTGTCACACACTTTGTTATAGCTTCACCAATAAAGTTTTGTGATATTTGATCATTTACATGTTTCCATCTTTAAATTGTTCTGATTCAGTCATTTTTACTTTTATGTTCTTCTTCTAAACTGAACTGCAGCCAAACCAAAGGCTGAACTGAGAGCTGATGACACAGCTGTTCCAGTAGGGGGCAGTGTGACCCTGACCTGCTCTGTGAGCCCATCATCATCATCATCATCATCATCATCATCATCATCATCATCATCATCATCATCTGGATGGAAATACTACTGGTACAGAGATGGGAAATCTTCTGAACCTGCGAGAAATGAACAAATCAGTGTCTCAGAGGGAGGACTCTACTGGTGCAGAGGAGGAAGAGGAGAACCAGTTTACTACACAGAGGACAGTCAGCCAGTTTGGATTGACACAACTGGTGAGTTCAAACTTGAACTTACCACAAAGCACTACATCTGATGGTAACTGAACCTTTTTTCTTTCATGTGTTTTTATTGTACTTTCTTGAACATTAACAGTCTCAATCAGGCCTGTTGTGACTCTGCATCCAAACTGGTCTGAGATATACAGAGGAGAGACGATCACTGTCAGATGTGAGATCCATGGAGGAGACA